CAAAGTGTTTTATTTGACTTTTACAAAATTAGCAAAAACAAGCTGCGGTGATCTTGCCTATAAGCATTAGAAGACATAAAACAACAATTATTAGAATAATAATTGTATTTATGTATTTAATGCGATAATTTGTTTGGAGGTTTTCGGAAACATTTACGTTGGTAAATTGTGAAAATTCTCAGATCCACGCCTTGCCTAAATTGTAATGGAATGTGTAAGGTCACGTGGTCAGCTCAGCGAGTCATTCGCACTCGCGCGCTCACCACCGCTAACATGAAGCACGTCTATTTTGAAGACCCACCTCCACCCCAACATTCCTATCCCTTAATATGATCATTAATGTGTCATGTAAAATTTATATTATATTATAGTTTTTACTCGATTGTTTTACGCTTTCATTTATTTGGTTTTGATTATGATCTTTTTGCAAACTTTTTCTTCTGAGGTTTTGATTGTGTCTTTGATGTACCATCTTTTTGCCAACTTTTTCTTGTGATGTTTGCCTATTTTATTTTGATGTGCCATCTATTTGCTAACTTTTTAATATGATGTTTTGATTGTCTTGTCTTACAGATACTTTTTTCTAGTCAGTTTTGGGGGATCAGACATTATCATATTTTACGTAACTGATAAGCAAAGCTTGTGAATCTGATCCCCCTTCTTGTTTGTTAAATTGTTCACATTTATACCGTCATTTTAATAAATGATACCTAAAAGGTTATTGTGGCGGAGGCTTATCTCGCCAATGCTGTGTGTAACTACACCTGCTTTTCACTTCCTAATTTCTAAAAATAAATCGAAAAGTTCGAATGATCTGCGTCGTATTTTTATTGAAAAAAAAAAATTTGCAATGTTTTGAAGGATGCGTACCGGTATGTGATCAAATGTTTGATAAGAAATATCCATGTTCAATCAATAATCAATATTCATGAAATGCTCGTGATATTGAAATCATTTGCAAATTCAAAAAAAATCTCTAAAGTTTATAGTTCTCAGATATTGTTGTTCTTATAGACAAGAACATTATTCAATTAAGGTGTTCAAGTGTTAACAATACAGTTATAAGAGTTTAATTCTAAACATTTAAGATTATGAACTAAACGCTTGGAATTTATGTAAACAGATTTGGGGTAGGACAACCTTAGGCAGTTTAGAATAACAAGATTAAGCATCAGATGTCGCTATAAAACTTGAAATGGTATGTTAAATTCATAGAAGAAACGCAAGAAAGCAAAACCATCATCAGTAATGACTGCCCGTGCTCAATTATGTATGCAGAGTCTAACAAATTGAAGACATGAAGTGAAACGTTAACTGATTTTTTTTTTTTTTAAATAGGACTCATAAATAGTACGTGTTTTTTTTTTTTAAAAAAAAAACTCTGCACACATAAATGATCTATGACTGACAGCACAGGAAAGTTGGCTCTGTTCTATCATATTTCACGTTTAATTTTCTGGATTATATGTTTAATATTGCATATATAGTTAAAGAAGTAGAAATACATGTTCAAGATAGAGTGAAAACTCTGAAAACATATTATACGTCCTCTCCCTTAAATTGTTTATTCTATTTATAATTTAATAAAGCAGTTCCTTAATTTCCCTTGAGATTTAATCATTGTTAATTGTTTTCTTAGCAAATCACCTGTGCTTATAAAATGATATTTTTATTTAGATTTGGTTTATTTCTTTCCTTTACACGAAACAGCAATAGCAGTAGTCTCATTTAAAGCCATAATTTCCTACGTTCTACGTTCAAATGCTTATCCATGTTTATACCCGCACTTTCTAAAGAAAGTTCGGGTATATTGTTGTTACTCATGTCCGTCCGTCCGTCCGTCCGTCCGTCTGTCACACTTTTCTTCCCTGAACTCCTCTTACATTTTACACAGTAGCCTAATCATCTTTTGGGAGATGGTTGGTGGTGTCATGTAGATGTGCAGTAAGGTTTCGGAATTTTGATTTTGCCCCGGGGGTCAAATGGGGGTCGAAAAATGACGTTTTTTATGCAAAAAGCCCCGTCTTCCCTGAACTCCTCTTACATTTTACACAGTAGGCTAATCATCTTTTGGGAGATGGTTGGTGGTGTCCTGTAGATGTGCAGTAAGGTTTCGGAATTTTGATTTTGCCCCGGGGGGTCAAATGGGGGTTGAAAAATGACGTTTTTTATGCAAAAAGCCCTGTCTTCCCTGAACTCCTCTTACATTTTACACAGTAGCCTAATCATCTTTTGGGAGATGGTTGGTGGTGTCATGTAGATGTGCAGTAAGGTTTCGGAATTTTGATTTTGCCTTGGGGTGTCAAATGGGGGTCGAAAAATGATGTTTTTTATGCAAAAAGCCCCGTCTTCCCTGAACTCCTCTTACATTTTACACAGTAGGCTAATCATCTTTTGGGAGATGGTTGGTGTTGTCATGTAGATGTGCAATAAGGTTTCGGAATTTTGATTTTGCCCCGGGGGGTCAAATGGGGGTCGAAAATGATGCTTTTTATGCAAAAAGCCCCGTCTTCCCTGAACTCCTCTTACATTTTACACAGTAGCCTAATCATCTTTTGGGAGATGGTTGATGGTGTCATGTAGATGTGCAGTAAGGTTTCGGAATTTTGATTTTGCCCCGGGGGGTCAAATGGGGGTCGAAAAATGACGTTTTTTATGCAAAAAGCCCCGTCTTCCCTGAACTCCTCTTACATTTTACACAGTAGCCTAATCATCTTTTGGGAGATGGTTGATGGTGTCATGTAGATGTGCAGTAAGGTTTCGGAATTTTGATTTTGCCCCAGGGGGTCAAATGGGGGTCGAAAAATGATGTTTTTTATGCAAAAAGCCCCGTCTTCCCTGAACTCCTCTTAAATTTTACACAGTAGGCTAATCATCTTTTGGGAGATGGTTGGTGGTGTCCTGTAGATGTGCAGTAAGGTTTCTGAATTTTGATTTTGCCCCGGGGGGTCAAATGGGGGTCGAAAAATGATGTTTTTTATGCAAAAAGCCCCGTCTGGGAGGTTGGTGTCCTTATGTGGCCCAAAATGATGTTTTTTATGCAAAAAGCCCCGTCTTCCCTGAACTCCTCTTACATTTTACACAGTAGCCTAATCATCTTTTGGGAGATGGTTGGTGGTGTCCTGTAGATGTGCAGTAAGGTTTCGGAATTTTGATTTTGCCCCAGAGGGTCAAATGGGGGTCGAAAAATGATGTTTTTTATGCAAAAAGCCCCGTCTTCCCTGAACTCCTCTTACATTTTACACAGTAGGCTAATCATCTTTTGGGAGATGGTTGGTGGTGTCATGTAGATGTGCAGCAATGTTTCGGAATTTTGATTTTGCCCCAGGGGGTCAAAAGGGGGTCGAAAAATGACGTTTTTTTATGCAAAAAGCCCTGTTATCCCTGAACTCCTCTTACATTTTACAAAGTAGCCTAATCATCTTTTGGGAGATGGTTGGTGGTGTCATGTAGATGTACAGTAAGGTTTTGGCAAAAATGTTGAATTTGCCCCTTTTGGGAGATGGTTGGTGGGGGGACTAATGGTGTCGAAAAATGATATTTTAAAAAGTGAGGTCAAGGTCAAAGGAAAATTCAAGGTCAAAATAAGTTGACGTATTAATAGCTCTTAGCAGTATGTATCAGCATATGAGGTTTGATAAATATATCTTGAATTGTTTATTCAAAACTGGTCGAGACATTAATTTTAGAAAAGTGATATCAAGGTCACAGGAAAAGTCAAGGTAAAAAAGAGTGAAGCATAGTAAAGCTTACATCAGTATGTATCATCATGTGAAGTTTCATTACACAACTTGAATGGTTTCTTTAAAATAAAGCTAAACACTAATTTAAAGAAAAGTTAAGTGAAGGTCAAAGGAAAAGTCAAAGTCAAAAAATATTGCTGCAGTTGGATATTTACATCAGTATGCATCAACATATGAACTTTGATAAAAATATCTAGAAAGTTTCTTTGAGCCCGATGGAAAGACAGATGGAAGGGTGGAGGACGGACATGACAAAAACTATACATGTATTCCTAATCATGGTGTGGCATAAAAAACTTGAATCTACATTATATGAGCATGTTCCATCTATCAAGATTATACAAGCAAATTCAAAGAATTGTGGTCCTCTGCTTTCTGTGTTTTACTGAATGAGATACCATAATTTATGGCAGATTGTGTGTCAAATATGCACCCCTATCATATATCAATTTTTGAAAATTGGGTCAAAGGGGAAAAATCATAGCATGCTCTGAAACATTTTGTTGCAGGTAATGTACATGTCAAATATGAAAGTCCTATCTCTTTTGAATCAAAAGTTATATATACAATATAATATTTTTGAAAAGTAGGTTAAACTTCTAGGTCAAGGTCACAGAGTCAAAAGTCATGATATATTTAGAAAAGTCTTTTCACATGTAATAAACATGTATAATCTGAATGCCCTTTCTTTTCTCTTTCAAAATGATCAATTTAAAATGTTATTTTTTGGAAAGTAGGTAAAACTTTAAGGTCAAGGTCTCACTTGGGTTAAAAAATCATAGTATATTTAGAAAGTTTTGTGGTAATGTGCATGTGAAATATGAAAGCACTATCTCTTATCATTCAAAAGTTATGACCAAGGTTAAATTTATTGTGACAGATGCACATACTAGCTGTCAATAAGATGGACAGACTGACAGACAAATGAGATTTAGTGTCCCCTCCCTTTCCCCAAAATGGGGGACAAGAATGCCCTTGCTGTTCTTGAGAAGAAGATTTATGATGGAAAAAATCCCCTGCATATTTCTTAACGCAAATCAATATTGTGTTTTTATGTCATTTTGTTTGTTGTTAAACATCCCTCTCAGGAATTTTTCACTCATATGGAGACACCACCATTTGAAAAATAATGAGGACAAGTTAGATTTGAGGTCAACATTCATTTTAGGAGTTTTCAACCATTAAGATGTAAAGAAATATTAACTCGATCCTTCCCCTCACCCCTTCCCAGACCCCTGTTTGTTCATGTATGCAAAAAAAAAAAAAATGTTTATACAAATAGTTTAATGTGGTCCATCTCTGAATGATTCTCATTCCTAATTCTAGAAAGATATGTTGACACAAATTCATGAATAAAATGTCAAGTAATCTTATCATTGATGCACTTTTATTTAATTTAAGGCAGTCATATTGTGAACATTTCCAGCTCATTAGGAGAGTGAGGATGACCTCTAGGGGTTCATAACCTTTATACCATTAAATTTACATAACATAATAACACAAGAAACAATATTATGTATAGTCAAATGGAAAAAGTTTCCTACTATTTAGGAGTCACATGATCATTTGTCATTACAGGGACAGGGAAGTGGATTGGGAGATCCCCTCAACACCCCCCCCCTTCCCCCGGAATTTGCAGGACTATAATATATACTGGAGGAAATAAAAATGACTTTGGATGCCCTAAGTGTCCCTCCACCCTAGAAAACAGACCAAACCATTACTTCTTTTTTTTCTTGCTTCTCAGGAAATTCTGGTCTGGAACCCCCCCCCCCCCTCCCTCCCAGAAAAAAAATTCTGGATCTTGTAACTGAATGTAACGTTGATAACGGGGGATAACTCTTCAGAATGTGAAATTCGTCTATTGTAGCATCGGATGACCTTTGATCCTTTAAACTTTAACCTAACCGTTTGCATTTCAGACTATTTTACCCAAATCTATACCAAAACTTGTACTTACCGATTGTTATTATTTAGGCCCTGTCATCTTCATGAAATATAATCCAGTTAAAACACAAAATGAAATAATTCCTACCGACATATATGCAATGATGCACACTAGTATCCTACTGCACGTGCAGTGAAATCTAAAATGATAATGCCAATGGTAAAACTAGTACTTAAGTTGGGTACGTGACGCAAGCCAAATGTGATGCAGGTGTTTAGATACATGTATAGTGCAAGAACAAATTGAAAATTATCATTTACAAAAGATGTTTTATTTTAGCTTTGCAATCTAGGCCTATTTGCAAAAACAGACAAATAAGGTGTGTTTGTGTGTGTGTGTGTTGATGGGAGACGGGTGGGGGTTGACCATTAAATTGATTGTGTATATGGCAGCTTTCAAGAAGTTTCTGCCTAATCAAATATAAATAAACTTTGCACATATTGAAAAATTCATCAAAAACGCTTTACACTAATTTGAATAATATATTATTTGTTGTTAATCTATATGAGAAAATAGATTTAAAAAGTTCCAATTATGTGCCAAAAATCCTCCCCCCCCCTTTATCAAACCTAATTTACATCATTAATTAAATTCTGTAGTTTAATTTCCGACTGGTAATGAATTAAGAATATGAAATACCTATAAAATGGAGGCCCATGGGTCACATGGTCACTAGCTGCAGATCTGTAGCGTTATGGTTTTATATATTAGTATTTGACTGCAGATCCTGTAATGCAAAAAAGGTGCAATTTACGGCGCAATATTTTTTGCGCACTTCTGGGGAGAATTTCTCCACTTTCCAGCATCGGTCAATTTACTACCTATCAATTCCTAATTTTAGGCACATTATTTAATCAATCTGTATATTTTATCCATCTCCCAACCCTTTATAGTCGTCTCTACTCGAGATAAACTCGATTAAAATTATTTGTTAGATTGCTGAAAATTCACATCAAGCGAGTTTATTGCCTGTAGAGATTACTATAAATGGCTGGGAGGTGGACAAAATATACATATTGGCCAGAGAATGTGTCCAAAATTAGGGAGTGAAAGGTAGTTGATTGACTAATGCTAGAAAGTGAAGAAATTCTGCCCAAAAGTGCTAAAAAAAATATTGCGCGTAAATTGCACCTTTTTTGCATATGGGGATCTGTAGCGTTATGATCAAAGACAAATAGGTATATAAAACCAGATCTGCAGCTACATGGTCACCTGAGCATATTATGCTCAATTTGATGAATACATGTATTATGTAAATTATTGAATTATATTGACTTTTTCCTTGGTAAAGCCCAATATGAAGAAGTGTGCATTTAGAGGCAAACACCATAGTGCGGGTATTACTGTCTCATGACAGCATCTAGTTCTCATTGCTGTTATAAGGCCTTTATTTGCACACTGATTTGTCGATGTTTTTTTTTGTTTGTTATTTCCGGATCTTGAAAGGGAGCACACTGCTGGTGTGACGATTGGCAGGGGATGCTCACTTCACAAAAACACTCGATCCAACCTTTAATATTTTGAATTCGGTGTCTGTGATTACTCCGCTAAACATCTGCCTTGTTCATTGGACTTTGAGCATGAGAATTGTTCGTTATATCCATATAAACGATTTCATTCGTAAATCTCACACATTTCATTGTCCCCAGCTTTCGCGAAAGCGGACGGTCTAGCTGTCCGTCTGTCCGTCAGTCTGTCCGTCCGTCACAAAAACTTTAACCCTGCCAATAACTTTTGATTTAGAAGAGCTATGATTTTTATATTTCATATGTGAATTTCTTGTGACAAGACCTTTCTTTGGGTACCACCAAACTTGACCTTTTGACCTTGACTTTGGAGTTTGACCCAATTTTACTAAAAAATTCAAAATTTTTACTTTGGCCATAACTTTTGAATTGTAAGTACTAGGACTTTCATATTTCAAATATTCATTTTTTGTGACAAGACCTTTCATTGAATAACAACAACTTTGACCTTTTGACCTTGACCTTGGAGATTTACGTACTAATGAAAAAACTATAACCTTGACCATAATTTTTGAATGGTAAGGGCGAGGGGGCTTTTATACTTCACATATGTTTTTTTTGTAAGAAGACCTTTCATTGGATTCCAAGAACTTGACTCTTTGACCTTGACCTTGAAGTTTTAACTAATTTTTGAAACCTATAACTTTGGTCACAACTTTTGAACGGTAGATACAAGGACTTTTATATTTTACATATGTAGTGTTTGTGGCAAGACCTTTAATTGGATACCAACAACTTTGACCTTTTGACCTTGACCTTGGATACTTACTTCTGAAAAAAACTTCAACCTTGACCATAACTTTTAAACGGATAGGGCTAGGGCTTTCGTACTTCACGCTTTTAATCCTTGTGAGAAGCCCTTTCATTGCATACCAAGAACTTTGACCCTTTAACCTTGGAGTTTTATTTATTTTTTTAAAACTTTATCCTTGGTCACAACTTTTGAACGGTAGAAACTAGGACTTTAATATTTTAAATATGTATTCTTTGTGGCAAGACCTTTCATGGGATACCAATAACTTTGACCTTTTGACCTTGACCCTAAAAATAAAATCTAGCCCACAAAGACACCAAAAGCAGGGGACCACAATTCTTTGAATTTGCTTTTTATAATTGCTTTTCAACAAGCATATGGGTTCGTTGCAAAATTTTCAAAGTTTATAAATCCAAATGGACACATTCACCGTGATCGTATAGATTAATAATAAAAAAAATTCTGAAAAATAATCAGAACAAACCTATACACTTGTTATACAAATGTTCATCATATTTGTCTAAAAGATATAGGAGCGTTAGACTAAACTCCCGAAAAATAAAAGTCTAAAATTTCAAAAGTAATCCAAAAGAATGATTTTCAGGAATAGAATATAATAAGAATTAGAATGCCGTTTTCTGACATACAGGGTATTTTGTGCTCAGAGGGTATTCATGATCTCGGATATAAAAGTACCTTTCATTGGATGTCTTACCATTACATACCAACTACAGTGTATCCGAAAATGGCATTATCCTCAAATACAGGTGAACACATTTAAGTAATATCTATGGACTCAAGTCTCCATCTCTGCACCACAGGAGTTCTAGCCCTAAGCTCTTTGAAGTACTTATCTACTACAAAGTCCACAATTTTATTACTCTTGGCCGAGAATCTTAATACTAGTAGTGATTTTGTATTTCCATTTAAATTTTATTTTTTAGTATCGATGGGTTTGATTGGTTTATTCTGATAAATTCCATAAAAAAATGATTTACCAAATTATAGTTCAAGCGGGTCCGTTCCATGGACCTCCCTAGGCAATTTTAGTTCTAATTTTAAGCAATAAAATAGAAACATGATTTTGTCAGTGTATATTCATTAAAATCAATCAATATATGTTACGAACAAATTTGTAATTAAAAAATGCTATTTTTTGGTAATGCAACAAAGGCACAAATCGTCTGCATCCACACACAGGTAAGAAAACAAATTTCCCCTCTGGTGTTAAATGGAACAGCAAAATTGAGACGTGGTGAATTAATTTGATCGTTTCTCTATAGAGGACACGATCAGCCATATTTTATAGGTCTTTTTGGAATAGAAATAAAGTCCTCGTTGTCGTGAATAATACAGGATAACCTCCTCGGTCTCGAAATGTTGTTTGAAATATAAAGGCCTCGGCTTTTATCTTTCAAACAACATTTCTCATCCTCGGAAGTTATCCTGCAACATTCACGAAAACGCGGACTTTATATTTTAATTCATTTAATTGTTATATTTAAACAAACTGTTTCATTAATTCAATGACTTAATTTTTTTCCAATTTTTTTTCTAGATGTATTATTTGTCAATTTAACCTTATCACAGAATTCATCGATACTTTATTTTATTTCTTCTTTTTATTTCCCTTTTTTTTTTTATAAACAAGCATTTTTTTTTTAATTTTAGTGTGATTGTCCCCTATATGCACATTACAGTATTATACTTCTATATGAAAAAAAAGAATCAACTATTTCAATTTTTGTCTATTCTATTTCTTAATTGATCAAATTATATGTCTGACGTTTTGCTTATTGAAATTTACATATAAAAATAGTACATACATGTACATGTAATGAAGGTTAAACCAAATCACGTATCCTGAGCTCCAAATGATAAAAGCATTTGAGGTTATTTGGAAAGAGAAATGCATAGAGCAGATTTTTGTAAGATGACTCACTGTGCTCTGTTAAATTACCATCCCAGTAATCAAAAAAGCAAATCGTGCATTATTGAAGAGGTAAAATAAGTATATTTGCTCGGCTCAATATCTCTTTATATCACTTTTATTCCATTTCAGCAATGAGCGTGATTCAGTTATCGCTTGTTCTCGTGGCCTTCCTTATAATTTCTCCTCTCTTTTATATAAGAGGTAAGGTACATTTATCATTTTCACAACTGTTTTTGTCAAAAGCAGAATGGTTTTCATTTTAAAGGAGTAAGCAGGTTCCTAGCATAATGTTAAAGTTTGTCTGGTAAAACATGTATTAAATGCAATAATCATAGTTATTGTTAGGGAACACTGATATATTTGTTTTCAGTCTTCAAGGGAATAATGCATGTTTATGTGTTTGAACATTAAGGAAATGATTTTTTAAGGATCATGAGAACATGGACTACGACGCATCATGACATTATGTTTTAAGAAGCATGTGAGCAATTCATTAAAAATATATGCTAGTGTGAAGCGTTTGGTTCATGACTTCATGTACTTGTAGTTTGCACTATAGTACTGACGTCAGACACCGTATAATAACGTAACCTTGAAGATGCCCATATGCTTATTTATCGTAGTTTATGAGAAAATGAATAATTTTATGATTTACAAAGAATCTCAGGGGAAACATTATAAAATGTATAGAGTTTTGAATTACATGTAAAAAAAAAAGTTCCATGTATTTTCTTGAAATATGCCTGCTTAAAGAGTCGTACACACTGTAGTTCAGATCTTAACGAATCTCCACAAAATTGAATTCACCGCTTAAATACACCAAACCTTAAAAAAGGACAAAAAATCATTACAAACAACAGTAGATGCAGATAGTACAAATTTGGCTCTGTACATTTTATTATTTGTTCTAAAATGTATGTGGTTTTAATTTCATTTTAAATGATCGTTATACAAACATGTCCTCATTTTTTTTCATTTTAGGGGATGACTCTTTGTGCTGGTCTTTGAACGGGAGATGCCTATACACAAATGTATCCGAACGATGTTTTCAATATAGAGTAGGGAACTGTACTGGACCAATCAACAGACGGTGCTGCACCCTTGGTAGACAATTCCAAAACTTCAAAAAATTATTTTAAGGGGAAATCAAAGACAAATCAAAAGAGAAAAACAATAAATTAACTAAACCCATTGCACAATTTTAGTAAATTTATTTTAAAGTGCCGTGGGAAAAGGGAATAATGCTTCAAACAAATAATCATGATCCCGTAATTTCAGAATGATAGATCATTTGCATTTTTATTCAATTTTTTTTAAAGTTGCTTAAACGATACTTTATACTAGTTTTAATTACTGGATGCATGTTCACAGGAGAGAAGGATCTACGGTGCCATTTCAAAGGTGGAACCTGCCAAATAATTCAAAACGCTGTAGTGGCCGATATGTGACAGGTTATTGTGGTGGAGGTCCATCTCGTCAATGCTGTTTGTAACTACGAGTACACATGTTTTTCACTTCCTAATCTTGAAAAATAAAATCATATTTCGAATGATTTGAGCAATGTTTTTATTGAAAAAAATATATATTGCCATGTTTTGGAAGGATATGATGAAATTTTTGATCGGACATATTTATTGCAAATCAATGTAAATGAAACGCCTCGTTATTTTTAAATCATTTGTAAATTTAACAATTGCTCTTACGTTTGTTGTTCTCAAATATTGTTCTTTCCAATGAACAAGAACACTATCTTATTCAGATCTATAATAGCAATGTACCTATTTTTTTTTAAATTTAAATTGTAAGAATTGAAGATTACTAACTGTACGCTCGGAATCTAGATAATTTAGGAGTAGGACAACCTAGCTAAGACTCCTTTGAATCAATAGATTTAGAATCACGTGCCGCAAAAGAAAAAAAAAACAATTTTTGGGCTCTAGAAAACTAAAAAAGGATAGAAATTTAAGAAATTAAAACTTCTGTAATTTCAGAGTTTAACAAATCAAACACACGATAACTAGTAAACTTCTTTTCAAACAAGACACGTGCACGATTTCTGTCTGTTAAGCAATTTACATGTATATTAAATTTTATTGAACTCTGCACACATTAATGAAGATCGACAGACAATACTGGTGTGCTGGATTATATGTTTAATATTGTTAACGGGAAAACTAGTAGAATAACATAAATTACTTTTGTTATATAATTGTCAATGTTAAGCAAAAAACCCATCGTTTTGAAATAAATCAGCTGTTTAAATAAGGCGGAAAGTTTATATCTCATAATTTTTAAAATTGTTACAAAGAGTAGGATGTGCAAGTTGTTTTTATTTAAAGTCGATTTACAAGTTCTGGGTATCGGTAGCGTTTAATTTAATTGATTACTCTTTTCAAATTTCTTTTTTTTTTCATTTGAGTAAAGAAAAACCTATTATCCTATATTAAAGTCAGCATGAATGCAATTTGTGTAAGGATTAAGGGGTATTCAATACTCATTTAGTAAAAAAAAATTCTTACTAATTATTTTGCTTCGAACATATTTCATTGTAATTTATAAATACAAGGGATTGGGCACAAACTCTGAAAACTAATTATTCATCCTCTCCCTAAAATTGTTTATTTTACTTAGAATTTAATGAAGCCCATCGTTAATTTTCCTTATGTTTTTATTATTGTAAATTGTTTTCTTACCAAAGCAGCTCAGTTATAAAATGCTAATTTTAACTTGAATTTGATTCAGGTCTTCTTTACATGAAAGAACAATATCAGCAGTCTTGTTAAAAGTCATCAGTTCCTAAGTTCTACAGTCGATATATATGACATTGTCAGCAAAAACAATTTATCATTTAGTAAAATGCTGACGTTTTTCATAGTAATTGCGAGGCCAATATTTACATACCGATTTGTCGACGGATTTTCTGTTATCTCAGATGTTATTATATAGAATAAATATTCAGCAGTTGATGAGATTGATGTTAATTTAGCGTATCTGGTCGCGGTGACATAAAACGACAAATTTGGGAGCGGCTGCCGACGGATCATCTGTCCAACGAAATAACAATAGCACTCGTTAATGTAGGATGGGGTTGACGATAGCGCCACATACTTGCAAGAGCATCCACCACCAGTACTGTCACAACTTTTGACGGCGACCATTCCCCAGCTCAGTCATCACTGACCAGCGCCATTTAAAGTAAAGCTAATTTTTGCTCTTAGCTTTTAGGAAGCTATATTCTTGATAAAAAGTACCCTTTTAACTTACCTTGTTAACTTTGAATTCCAATATTTGTGGAAAAACATAGCAATAGTTCTTGCAAGCCAGAAAGCCTAATAAGTTTGATTAAATATTAAAACAATTTGGGGTATCTGATATTGAATCGAGGCATAATGTCGGGAAAAGAGGGTTGGATTTATCTACACGACAGTCTTTATAATGTGAATGCATACTATATATCTCCAGGGATAGGTACGTTAAGGATATGGAGATAACAAACATTATTCAATAACAAAGTCCATAAAACAATACGAAAAAGGAGAAGAGCAAACACGTACCTCTAAAACATCAGAGGTGGGAACATGTGCCATAGAGGAGTGAGCATCCCCTGCTGACCGCTCAAACCCGCCGTGTGTTCCTTGTCATGGTCGGGAAATAACATAAAAATCCGTTCAGGTATAAATAAGCTAATTCAGAGAATTTGTGTCCCCTGCTTAGGGAAACTGTAAACCATTCGCAGTTCGGGGAGGGGGGTTGGATCCCCTTGACTTAAGTTGAAAAATTATTAAATGTATACATGTATACTGAAGCAAATAAAATAAGCCAAAATGGATATAAAGATCTGATTGCTTATACTTCATTATGTGTATAGAAGATTCTTTTTATATGGAATATTTATCACACTGTGATGATGATTTTATGAGTTTGTAGAAGCCACACCTTATAAATTTTTCATTTCACATGCTGAATACTATCATTTAGTAAAAAAACATATTTCAGGAAAAAAAGAAAAAAAACATCATCCCGGAACCGAACCCGGATCTCCCGCAAGTGAAGCCAGAGACATACCACTTAGCCAGGGCACCGCTCTACCCTCGCCTGTTTATTAAACTACCTATATACAAAGATGAAGTCACATACATGTATGTATTTACGTTCGATATTTTCAAAATTTAATATAATGCGTGGTGTCTAATTTAACCTTTATTAAACAGTTCTAATAGATGTAATAAGAATATAGAGTCCGCCGAGAACCTGTTTTATACTTAGTAACTCTCCTCATGTCCCTGTGTTAAAAATACCGACATGTAATACAATAAATACTTATAAAACAAACGGGGCGGGACACTTTGAGAAAGGTAAGAGAAGTCCTAGGGAATTTTTGGTATAAAATTCCATATCAAAAGCTCAAAATCTTCTTGAAATATCGCCCGGAAAGGATAGTGTTACACAGACAGAGTGTATAAATTTACGACCGTGAACTTTGACCTTTTGAATTCAAATCAATAGGGGTCTTCCTTAGGCCACAGGGTGTTGCTATGTAAAATTTCATTGCAAAAGCTCAAAGGGTTCTCGAGATATCGTGTGGAAACGAAAGTGTTATAACAGACAGAATTTGCGAATTTATGACCATGACCTTTGACCCCTTGACCTCAAAATCAACGGGGTCTTATTTAGTCCATAGGGAGTTGCTATGCAAAATTTCATTGCGAAAGCTCAAAGGGTTCTTAAGATATCGTGTGGAAACGAAAGCGTTACAGACAGACAGAAAGACGGACGGACGGACGGACGGACGGACGGACGGACAAACCCAAATTAATATCGCCCACTTTTCAAGGGGGGGACAACAATGGACTAACAATAACAGTATTAAAAACGTCAGTCAGCATTTGACTCAATGATAAATTGTATTTGCTGACAAAGTCATTGTATCGACCAAAGAACTTACAAAATGATGACTTTAAACGATATTGCTGATATACTGTAAATCACTTTTCATTTGCGAGAACTTTATTTTCGCGTAATTACGCGAGACTCTGTGCTCGCGAAAATTTAATTCTCGCGTAAAATAGTATTCCTTAAGAATATATAGAGCAATTCCCACTATTCGCGAAAATTTTGTCTCGCTAATCAAGAGTCAATGACTATCTCGCGAAAATAAGCTGTCGCGAAAATTTTGTGATCTACAGTATTTACTTCATCAATTTGTTTGTCAATAATTTACTTCGTTTTCGAAATTGTTCATCCATATATATGTAGTGTATGCTAATGCGTATCGAATCCACTGATATATATAAGTTTCACCCCATTCATACGAAGAAAATTTGCTTCTGTGAATAAATTAACAAACATAAGCAAAAGTTAATTTGTTTTGCGTTCAGACAAGATATCAGTACCTCAAGTAAATCCTCAAATTGTCATTTAAAATTAAGAAATGGACCGCTTCAGACGTGTAAATTTTCACAGGAAAAGAGTATTTCCCTACTATTTGGGCATAGGACGAGCTCTTGGATGTTCCCGAATAAAGGAAAGTAGAAGAAAATTCCAATCTACAGAGTGGTTTGGCAGAAACATACTTAAAGACTGTACGGACGAAGATTGGCACGGGAATTTTCGAATGAAGAGGGAAAACTTATTTAAAATTTGTGAAAAGTTGGAAAATGCTTTGGCCCCGGCCCCAAAGACCGTAGAGGGGCCTTTGGATGTAACAAAAAAGGTAGCTTTTGCCATTTATTGGTTAGCCTCATCAGCGGAATATCGGAAAATTGGAAATCTTTTTGGTGTGGCAAAATCTACCGTGTATGAGTGCGTTCATCAAGTTTGATAGGCAATTATAGAACATTTGCTTGAAGAATATGTGTGTTTTCCATAGGGAGAAAGGTTGAAGAAAGTAATCAAGGGCTATGAGGAAAAGAGGGGATTCCCAAATTGTGGTGGGGCTTTTGATGGTACACACATTCCTTCTTTTTTTAGCTCCGAAACATTCTCATGGAGACTATTTGAGCAGAAAAGGGTTCTACTCATTGATTCTTCTGGGTGTTTGCGACCATAACTATGTCTTTAATGATATAAATATAGGTTGTCCAGGAAGGGTTCACGATGCCCGTGTTTTCGCAAATTCAGAAATTTATCTCAAAGGAGATAACGACTCCTTGTTTCCGGAATGGAGAAAGCCAGTTGGAGAAAATACTATGCCAGTAGTTCTTCTCGGCGACCCAGTGTATCCTTTGAAGACTTGGCTTTTAAAACCATATACCAACAGATCTACCCTAACAAACACCCAATTCAATTTCAACCACAGTTTAAGTAGAGCCAGAATGACCATTGAAAATTTGTTTGGCCATTTGAAAGGATGATGGCGTTGTCTAAAGAAGAGACTTGACGTTGAAGTTGAATTTGCCTGCACCGTAATTGGAGCTTGTGTTGTATTACATAACGTTTGCAAATTTGAGAAAGAAGATTACAGATGGGATACATATTCGGACGACACTGTCGATGACGACGACGATAAGCAGGAT